GCCTTGCTGCGGGGGGGGCCCCCCCGGTGGCAGGCTGCCCCCTCGGCTCGGTTCGGGGTGCCGGAGCGGAGCCCCGCTCCCGGGCAGCCATCACCCCGTCCAGCCCCTGTGCGGGCTGCTGCGGCGCTAGTGCGGACCTTGAGCGTGGGATCAGCACCGGCTCTTCTTGAAGTATTAAACGAGAGACTTCATAAATCCATAGCGTGCAGATTTTAATTTTTTTTTTCTTTTCCCAGTGGCTATAAGGTTTCTCATCTGCCTAAAATAATTCCGGTAATTAACATGGGATCTGACTGATTTTAAGTAGCGGAGGATCTGCTCCCACAGCCGCGTGGAAGGACATAAACAGATCAGTAAGTGGGCAGAGTCAGACTCCGAGTGATGCTCTGCAGAACATTTCTCGGGTCCTATACCCGGTGCACGCCGGTCATGGTGCTGCTGGACTTCTTCATTAACTTCCATCGAGCGCACACCTTGCTGTTTGTACTAACTGCACAATCACAGATACTTTCAGAGTACATAACAGCCATCTCTGTTTAAAAAACATTGCCGCTGAAAGGAACGCTTCTTAAGGGCCTACATTATTATTCAAATTGATGCTGAGGATGATGTAAAGAAGGAAGCTGTTCAAAAGCACTTCACTGATCTTTCTACAGCAACTTATATCAGCCTCATTATGCTGTTTATACAAACACAGTAAGATGCCCTCCCATTGGTATTACACGACTAATTGGAAATACTACTTTCAGAAAGAAAAAGTAAGTTTTAAAGGCCAGGAGGGAAAGCTGGATTTAATGTATAACACAGCGTTCCTTGCTTTACTCTGTTGGAGTTATAATTAAATCCACTCCAACCTATCCAAGCATTTTGTACACTACGTTTATCAAGGTATTTAATCAACACAATACTTTTATGTTGCTCTTTTGCTGTCAGGTTTCACAAATATGTACTGTTTTAACGTAATGAAAATAGACTGAATCTGGCATAAACCCACCTGAAATTAATTCTAGGAAGGTTCCAGGGATGGTGAGCACAAGACAATGCA